AGAGAGAGAGAGAGAATTTGTTGGTTCCCAAAAAAAATTCTGGATGACTCATAGTTCTTTTCTGAAGCATAGAATAATGGGCTGGCAAATGCACATACATGTATTTTTTTGTGTATCACACATGCTAATGCGCATGGGCTTGTGTTAAATTTTAACTAGTAGTTGCCCCCTAATGGTATCTTTTTTCTTTTTCTAGGTTTGCTATTATGGGGTTAGTGACTCATTACACTGGGGCATCTCGGCAGGCTTCAACACAAAGTTGAACATGTAATTTTTTTTCCATCTTTCTCGATGAGGGGATTTAATGGTGTTTGTTTTGTGCGTGCTGGATTTAAGAAACTAGCCAGATATTTGTGTGGATCATGGTGTTGAAATGTTTGATTTGGCTACTACATCTTCTTTCGTGTGGTGTTGATCTTAGTCATATTTATTTTAGTGTTTCATTATCATGCGATCTTGCATGTTCTGTTACGTAGGAAAGTAGTTTTGATGGTTTGCGATTTCATTTTGTGTTTTTCATTATCATGTGATCTTGCATATTCTGTTACACAGGAAACTAGTTTTGATGGTTTGCAATTTCATTTCGTGTACTGACTAATTGAATCTTATGGCTTTGTCGAGTCTTAAACTTTTGCTTTCAAACTATTGTTTGTTTGAATTGAGAAAAGGGATCGTATATTATAAGATCATTTACCTTTGATACAAGAAGGGCATAACCACTCATTGTTGTTTGATATGAAATCAAGCGGCCAGAGGTATGTCACATAATTCAATACAATTTTTTTTAATAGCACACTCTCAACCATCTAATTTCAATTCGAACGGCTAAAGGTGATTGTGACCTCCTTGTACCCTACATAAACGGTCATGTGCATACCTTTTTTTTTTTGTAAAGCTTGAAACTTGAAGAGTAGATAAGGCCATAGCTCCATTTAATAGACCCTTCCATCTCCATTCTTCCTTTCCTACCATGCTGGGTTATTCTCTCTTAAACCTTCCCACTCCTCTCTTTGTTTGGAAGGTGTTTCATTTCTTCGAAAGGGCCCATGGCTTCACCTAATAGACCCTTCCATCTCCTTTCTTCCTTTTCTACCATGCTGGGTTATTCTCTCTTAAACCTTCCCACTCCTCTCTTTGTTTGGAAGGTGTTTCATTTCTTCGAAAGGGCACATGGCTCCATTTAATAGACCCTTCCATCTCCTTTCTTCCTTTTCTACCATGCTGGGTTATTCTATCTTAAACCTTCCCACTCCTCTTTGGTTTGGAAGGTGTTTCATTTCTTTGAAAAGGGCACTGCTCTATCTTACTTTATAATATAACACTTCTATCATCGATCCCCACTTTACCCACATCATCTCTGTGAAGCCCACATGCATCATCTCTGTGCATGTGTATGCGCCCGCTCATTTTTGATATCTCTCTCTCTAGCATCTTTTTCTTGCCTGCCTTACTACACCTATCAAATTGAAATTGTTTTTTCTCATTTGTTTATCGCATTCATCACAAATTGGGTTTTATATAGCGGATTGAGGGCATGCATATATTTGCATTTGAACTATTAGAAAATATCGTAAGTCACGCTTGCACACTTTCTAGTTTTTCTCTCTGATTTAAAACTCGCCCAAGTCCAACTTGGATTTGCCCAAGTTACTTAGACTTGGCAGCTTGCAGAGCGATGAAGAAAAACCTGGGGAATCGCCCAAGCCTCTTCGGTTCCCAATGTTTTTTTGAGTCTTACTAGGCTGTGTCTCACTAGGACTCTGCCAACTCTCACTAGGACTTAGCTGAGTTGAGTTGCCTGACTTAGGTTTGGGATCCGAGAGATTCCTGACCCATGTCCATGCTTTCAAACTCCGCTTTTTATGTAATGGATGGGCTGAATGCAGGGATTTGGCAAAATTCTGCTAAAGGAAACTACTAAGTGAGGTCTATTCCATTGTTCAAGTGTCCCTATTGCGCTAGCAGATGGATATACATGTGATTTTTCGGTATCACACACACATGACACGCATGAATGCGCATGTGTAATTGCTAGTTGTGCTGATGATACCTAATTTATTTATTTGTTTATTTTCCAGGTTTGGCCTTGTGGGGTTTAGACACACTACACAGGGGAATCTTGGCAGCTTCAACACAATGTTGAAACATGTAAAAGCATTTTCTGTCTTTCTCAGTGAGGGGATTTCATGGTTTTTTTTCCGTGAGGTGTAGGGTTTAAGAAACCAGCCAGATATTTGTGAGGAAATTGTTTGAGGCCACAACTCCATGTAATAGTCCCTTACATCTTCATAATTTTCCATTTCTCCCATGTCAAGTTACTCTCTTGGAAACTTTTTCACAAGTATTTTTATTTGGGTGGCACAACTCTTATCTTGCTTTACAGTATAACATCTTCGATCATCAACCCCCCACCTCACTCACATCATCCCTGTATAGCTCACATGTGTCATCTCTGCACTGTCCTTATTTTTGCTCTCTCTCCCTCTGTCTGTGTGTTTCTCTCTCAGACACACACATTGTAGCTCCATTGTCTTTTCCTGCCTCCTGTCAAATTTAACTTGTTTTTTTCATTAGTTCATTGCATTCATCAATGGTTGGGTTTTATATAGCATACTGGGGACGTGCAAACACTTGCATCTGATAAAATTCTGAACTATATCACGACGTTGCTAGCGCAATTTATAATTTTTCTGTAATGGATAAGGTGGATGCTGTGATTTGGGTAAAAGCTTTGTTCAAGGAAACTAGAAGGTGAGGTGTAATCCATTATTAAAATGTTGTATTTTGAATATTGGAGAGAAGATTCTGGTTAAGGCATATTTAGTAAATGATAATATTAATGATGATGATGACAACAATGACGATGGTGGTGCTAAGGAGATGGAGGTGAAGGATCCACGCATTCACAGAATGGAAAAGAATCACAGCTTTCCTTTCATCGCTTCAATAAAACTGGTGAGGTTCTTCATAGAAGATCCCTTAGCGGCACTCTGAATGGCTTGCTCCTTGAGTTTCGAAACCTATGTCTCATTGCGTCATCGCCCAACACTTCCTCTACCTTTCTTCTTATCTCATTTGTAGAGAAAATCCCATTCTCATTAACTCCTGTTGAAAAATTGGTCTGTAAAATAAGGCCAGCATATCAAGGGCACACCATTGCTCAACCCCTCTAATGTTGAGTTCCAACCACAGTGGGTCACAAAACAAGCTATAGAGGGATGGGCCAACACCTCCTTTTGTGGGCACCAGCACCCCCACCCTATCTAAGAATCCCTTAGGGTAAGCTGCTTCTGACTTGTCGACAAGGCCAGGGCGAGCTGCCCATAGGAATGGCCTACCCAAACTCTCGAGTGCAAGATAAAGCTCTTGAAATTGATGTTTATCAAAGAGGGTGAAGCTCCCGAATGACACATGGATGACTGAACATTCACGCTGTTGCGTAAGCCACTCAAGAGTGGTTTCATCCTCTGTCCAAAAGGAAGTTGGTTCCCTGTGATGACCACTTGAGAATAGGGGACCAATAGGTAGGATGTCAGGGAAAGAGTCATAGGTTGAGGATTCAACTTTGTAGAAAGAGTTGCACACGATCCATTTGACACCTTTGACGTTCTCCATGCATCGGCTGGTATATTGAAACTTGAAAGGTGGCTTTGTTTTCTGCAGGATCTTCAACATGAAGCCTAGGAACGTCCCTCGGGTCTATGGAGGGCATGTTTGGGGCAAGTTGGATCATACTCGTCTCGCGTAATTCACCTGTGATAGAAACTTCAGGAATATAATCTGTACTATATTATAAGTCATGGTGAGTATATGTGATTGTGTGTTCGAAATGCACATGCTTACCACACTTAAATAAACACCTCTTGGAGTCCTCATAGATATAAACAACAGTGCCCTAATAGATATGGTCTAAAATAAATGCCTTAAGAGTCCTCATGGTGATGGATATTAAAAATGTAGTATATAACATTCTACACAAGCTAGGGCTGCTGTTAAAAATCAAATTTCCTCCTAATAGACTATGAAAATAGGATGCTTTCATTGCACAAATGATATATGAGTAGATTCACGAAAATAAGAGATATTTTCATCGCACAAATTAAGGAAATGTAGCTTCCATTAATATCTAAATGGAGTAGATTAAATTTTTTGTGCATGGAAACTTCTCAAATATCTGTGTTTATTTGTTAGCATATCTACTTTTGAGAAGGTTTAAAATAATTCTTCGATTGCACATAAGTTTAAAGGCAGAGCAACTCAGAAATGGGCCTCACAAGTTTCAGAATTTCTGTTAGGATGAGAGAGGACATTATTCGAGTATTGAGACTATTTAGTTCTCTTAGGTGGCTCACACAGTTGAAATTTTATTCTTGTGATTTATATGATATATAGCATAAAGGTGAGTACTTGAAAAACTTATTTTTGTTTCAATCTCTCTATCCTTGCCCATGCATTTCATGGGTTGCAACCTAATCCTTTATGAGCTTTTCATAAAGCTTTCGGTAAAAAAGAAAGGGAAGAGATGTGAAGCACCCCATTTTCATCGAAAGCTCCACTTTGGACTAGCTCCTTGAGCCTCTGCAACACAGCTAGGCACCAGCTGCTGCAGGCCACACTGCAGCTCGTTCTATGCCGAGCCTTTCAGCCACATCTAGTGCCCACCCCATGCTCACGTCGGCTATTGCGCAATGTATTTTACATTCTACACTTGCAATATGCTTTATGAGCTTTTCAACTGCATTAGGCATTGAGCATAGTATGGACTAAGTGAGCGGACCAAGTTCTGCACGGGGCTCTAGCTCATCGGGTATGGAGATGAGTCGGATGGGTCCAGTGCCATTGTCAGGGTGGGGGGGGGGGGGGTTTGGCGGATGGACCTCTTTGCTGGCCTCAAGCATATGCTTGTGGTTGAAATTGGTATGGACAAAGGTGATGTTGGCCATGCGATGTGAGAACTCCATCATAGGTCTGATGTGGCCTTGGGCAGGGCAGCTGATCATGAGTGCATGGGGTTTGCCCATGGTTCTCTCCCCCTCTCTCTCTCTCTCTCTCTCTCTCTC